GGGGTTGGTATCCACGAAGTCATGAAAAATCTCACCATCCATACTCCCTCCATCACTTTCAAAATCATCATCCTCAATCACATTCTCAAATTCCAAATGAGTTGTCTCACTCAAATAATTACCCTTAGGCTCACTCAAATGGGAGGAGGGAGAAGAAGGAAAGGCATCCTCTTGGGATGAGGCTAGTTGGGAAATTTTACTTTCCATCATTTTAATCCAAGCTTCCCTTTCATTCCTCTCTTCATCTTGTTTTCTCATAAACTCCTTAAGCATCTCCATACACTCTTCTTCCTTCGATCTCCCCACTGAATTACCCTCACAAAAAGGCTCATTAGACACATAGGGGAACTCATTAGGAATCGTGTATGAAAAAGGAAAGGAAGATGAAGAATTATGCATTTGAGAATTTTGGGTGTGTGAAGCATCATTGGAATTCATGCACATAATTGATGAACATTGAAAAATATCATGAACATTATCAACATTGGGATGCATCTCATTACAATTAGCATACAAAAGGGAAGGGTTGCCATCATGCATCAAGGGATCATCATGGGGAACATAAGAATCATCATTAGAGTTTATGCAAGAGTTAGAAAAATCACGACAATTATCATAATTATCTTGCTCATTTCTATCCCGAGCAAACCACAAATAGAAATCCCAAGCCTCATCCGAAGATGTGGCTCGAAATTCACCATTAAATTTGTTTTCAACCACCCCCCTAGTGTACTCATTCAAACCCCAATAAATTATCTCACAAGACTCCCTTAAAGTACAACCAAGGTAATTAGAGAAGTCTTCAAACCTATTAAAGTATACCCAAAAGGGCTCATATTCAAATTGAGGCAAAGAAGGACATGACATTTCATTTTGGACAAATTGATCCATGACTCAATGAGGCAAAACAAATAGCAACCAAATAAGAAAGCTCAAATATTTTTGGAATTTCCCCTTTTTTTTTTCCTTTTTTTTAAACAAAAAAAATAAACAAAAAGAAAAGAAAATATTCGCAAAGACCTAGACTCAATAAGGTAATACAACAATAATGGAAGCCGTCTCCGGCAACGGCGCCAGTTTGGTGAAGGATAATTAGGTCGTTGGACTAACTACCCTCAACCAAACAATATTTATAAACCTACACCTACACTAAACAAGTTTAGTGGTAAGTAGAGGGTCGAACCACGGAGACGACATAAACACTATCAACACCACCACCAATTAAGCTAGGTCAAAGAGATAGGATGGATAGAACAATAAACAAAAATGAGATTTATATTAAGTTAAACTAACACCAAGGGAGAGGGTCAAACATGACAATGATTTTCAATAAAGTTAGGCAATGGAAATGAGTTTACATGCAAACCAAATATCTCATATAAGGCAATACCAACAATACCATCTAACCACCTATCGGGGTCAAAGGCTTTCCCAACTTAACACATGCTCATACTATCGTCATAAGCTGTGAAAGTTAAGGTTTTTGCATAGAATCGATCACCTAATGGATATCCCTAAGTTACACTATCGTCATAACTTAGTTCAATCCACCCAATTACAACACATGATTGGCCATTCACATGGAGTAATTAGTAAAACATGGTTACAAGGTATATTTAATCACATATAACCAACATTTGTCTAGCCTAATACATTCAAGATTCACCACATGCTATCACCAATCCCTTAGTAAAGGGAATTACTCACTAATCATGAACAACTAACACAAAACCCAACAAGAAGAACAAAGAGAAGCAATTAAACTAAACAACTACTCTAATCAAGCAAGAAATTAAGAAAGAACAATAAATAAGATAGAGTTTAGAATGCTCATTGAAGTATTGAAAAGGAATCCAAAACAATGTCACTTTGCATCTTCATCTTCTTCAATCCACCATTGAAGCTCTTCACTTTCTCTCTCTAAAATACCCTAAATTACTCTTAATCTACATTGTAAAGTATAAAAACAAAGATTAAAACTAAATCTAAGCCTAATTTATGTGAAGATTGATGGAGAGATGTTAGGGTTTAACCCCTCAAAGAGGAGAGAGAAAACCCCAAAGAAACCCACCATCAAAACTTGGCCAAAAAAAGAGGAGAGGAAGAAGCATTTAAAAGACCCGTAGCTGCTCGTGCGCGCCCGCGATAGAGGCCTGCGCGGCCGCGCACTGGGATTGGCCTGACAGCAACATTCTTTTTCAAACGGCAATAACTTCTGTTCTAGGAGGCTTCTGGGGGCGTGCGACCTACCTTTGGAAAGAACTTCAAGTCTAGTTTTCAATGCAATTTGAATCACCTCAATCCAATTTGTAGATAAAAAGTTATGGCTAAAAGAGTGAACAAAGGTTAGTTTCGGAGTTCAGGCCCTTGAGCGCTCGCGCCTATCTTAGGAGCGCCCGCGCCTATCTTAGGCGCGCCCGCGCCTAAGCCGCGCCCAAATCGCGCCTACATTCTGCCTCCTTCAATATTTTCAACCCCAATGTTAGGCACGCCCACGCTTGGTTTGGCGCGCCCGCGCCATTCTGAAAGCACGACCCGCGCTGTCCGTATGGCCTTGCTTGCTTGCTCCTTAACTTCCTTTGTAGCTCTTCAAATGAACTCCAATTCTCCAAGCTCTTCATTCTATTAAAATCAACTCCAAAAGCCTACAAAACACGAGGAAAAGCACAAAAACATAATAAAGGGAGAAACGGAGCAAAAAGGGGGTACAAACAAGGGACAAACGTAGAAAAATACCGCAATTAGAGGATCTAAATAGTGGCATAAATGCCACTTATCATGGCCGAACCTGCTTAGTAGTTCAGCCGAACGTCGAGGTAGGGTCAAGAAGTAATTTTGCAATTTTGCAGGAGTGGTCGAACCTTAGAAGTTCGACCAGACCAGGATCAAGGAGGTTCGACCAAACCTACCCATGGTTGCATTGAACTTATGCCATATATCGATGAAAGACATGATTTTTATTAGCTTGAGATTATTGTTGCACTCTATTTGATGTTTTCTAGTTTAAATGCATGAAAGTGATTAGAACTAGATTAGGATCATCTCTATTTTGATGATTGCATGAGAATGAGTTATTAAAGTGGAGTTTTTATGGATTGTGCTTCTTTATTCTCTTGATTCTATTGTAACTAATATGATTCATTAGAATGATCCTTATTAGTGTAGACCTCTTTCATTGATTTGCCTAGACTATTGCATGAGAATGAATTATTTAGGTAGAATCTTGTGTTCTTTGGCATGTGTTTCATGATAATCACCATTATTCTCCTCTTTCTAATCATATTAGACACCCTCGTATCCCTAGCGTCATTTTCTATTAGTTTTAATCATCATTTACTTGCTTACTTGTAGTTTTAGTGTTCTTACTCAACAAAACCAACAAAAACAATCCCCTTTTCACTCTTGCAGTAGTGATATTTGATATTGAATTAGCGTTCTTCCCTAGTGGTTCGACCCTTTACTTGCCACTAACTAGTTTAGTGCAGGTTTAGGTATTATAAATGATTAATTTGGTTAGGGTAGTAGCTTAACGACCTATCTAACCCGCGATCAAATTTTGGCGCCGTTGCCGGGGAAGCGGCTTGTTTAGCGTCTATTATTGCTTTTGTTGGAGTCATTTTACTTTCTTTTCTTTTTGTTTTTTGTTTTATCATCCTTGTCATTGCTAATTGTTTGCTTAGCTTTGGAGAATCAACCGAACCTTGAGACAAGTCTGTAGGCTTTATCAAGACGAGGGAAGAGGTTTTGGTGATATAGTTGATAGTGAGAGTGATACTTACTCTTCAAGTTCACCACACGAATCAATGGTAGGACAAGAGAATGATGTTTTGTTTCGTGGGTTCGGAAATTCGGAGGATTATGAGCTCACGGGAAGTATTTTGCTACCCGTCACGGAAACCAACTTCTCAATCCATCCACAATATACTCGAATGGTCCAATCGGAGCAATTTTCCGGAAGTGCTAATGAGGACCCTATTGAACATTTGGACCGATTCCTTGAATTGTGCGCAATGATGCAAACCAATGAAGTAAGTCAAGACTACATTCGTATGCACCTTTTTTGGAAATCTCTCACCGGACGAGCAAAGAAATGGCTAAAGCAAGTAAAGCCTAACACTCTCATAATATGGAGGGAGGTGGTAAAAGCGTTCTTGAAGCGCTTTATCTCCTAGGAAAAGACCGCCGAAATGAGAAGGAAAATTGCATTATTTGAGCAAGATGCCGATGAAAGTCTTGGTGAAGCATGGGAGAGATTCAATTAGTTGGTACAAGAATGTCCCCACCATGAGTACAATCAAGGGTTGCTCATGCAGTTTTTCTACGACGGATTGGAGCCCATGTCAAGAGCCAATTTGGATGCGGGGGCGGGTGGTTAATTAATCAAGATCCCTCAAAATCAAGTTGAAGCCACAATAGAAGAGGTAGCAAAGAATTACTCTTGGGGGGGTCGAAGAAGAAACGCTCCAAAGAGAGGTGGTATTTACGAATTGGAGAAAGTTGATCAATTACAACATCAAATTGATCAACTAAAAAAAGGGCTTTCCAAATTGAACACAAGTGTGAATGCAAGTTCAAGTGGTGGAGCAAGCTCTTCTCATGTTAACTCTTTCTCTTGTCATAATTGTGGAGGAACGAACCATGATACATCCTATTGTGGAGGTTTAAGCCCCGAACATGTAGCGGCATACAACACAAGGCAAGAGGGATTTAGAGGAAGCGGCGGTGGAGTAGCTTGGAGAAAACCACCACCCGGGTTTGTACCTCAACCTCAACAATGGAACCAACAAGCTCAACCTTCCTATAACTCCAACCCTCAATATCAAAATCCACCTCCATCTCAACCCCAAAACCCAAGAGGAAGCTATCTGAGGAACAACCAATACAACAATCAAACCCAAGCACCCCAAAGAAATCATCAAGAACAAGAACCTGGAGCGGAGCTGACTCAAACTCAACTCCTCCAAGCCATGCATGCGCAAATGTAATCTTTTGGGCAAAAAATGCAAGAGCTAAGATCTCACAACAAGATGGTTGATTCACAACTTGCTCAATTGGCAGAGAGAACTCCTTTCAATTCACCATCCACTCTACCCGGACAACCACAACCTAACCCATCTCACAATCCAAAACCCGATACATGTAAGGCGATCACATTGAGGTCGGGAACTTCCTATGAAGGGTCAAATGAAGGGGATAGTGAGGAAAAGAAAGGAGGAGAGGAGAGTGTGAATGAAAACAAGGGAGGTGAGAAAGAAAAGGGTGATGAGATAGAAGGAGGTTCGGAGAAGAAGAAGCTTGACAATGAGAAGACAACTTCAATTCCTAGTGAGGCTAGGAATCTTGATGGACCGGTTCCTTTTCCCGGTCGGCTAGCGGAGAGGAAGTTGAATGACAAGTTTACAAAATTTCTTAGTGTCATGAAGAATTTGCATATCAACCTCCCTTTTCTTGAAGTTGTGACACAAATGCCATCTTACTTCAAGTTCCTCAAAGATATTCTCACCAACAAGAGGAAGCTCAATAATAAGCTTATTACCCTTCCACGTCAAGTGAGTGCTCTTGTCCAACATAAGATGCCCAAGAAGGAAAAAGACCCGGGAAGTTTCACTTTGCCGGTGAAAATTGGGAACATGGAAGCCAGGGCGCCTTAGCCGATCTTGGAGCAAGTGTTAGTTTAATACCTCTATCCATTGCTCAAAAACTCAATATAGAGATGATCTCTACAAGGAAGACAATTCAATTGGCCGATCAATCGGTGAAATTACCTTGTGGAGAGCTTGAGGATGTTCCAATTCAAGTGGGACACATCTACGTGCCTTGTGACTTTGTAGTGATGGATATGGAGGAAGATGTTAACACTCCTTTGATTTTGGGACGTGAAGATCTTAAAACTTTGGGGGCGGTCATCAATTGCAAGAACAACACCATCACATGTGAAGTGTCCGATGAAAAGATTGTCTTTGAGTTTTCTAAGTTGCTCAAGACCACCATGGTTGAAAAATGCTATAGAGTTGATGTTGTGAATGAAGAGCTAGATCGCTTGGGGAGGGTTGTGATGAGACCTCAAGATCCAATGATAGAAGCCCTTACATGCAAAGAAGAGTTCCACTCTCAAGAGGCTATAGAATTTGTCATGGCAATGAAGGAATCCTCAAAGGAGGAAGTTGAACAACAAGTTGAGATTGAGCTTGAGTCCAAGGAGGAGAAATCGGAGGAGAGTTCTAAGCCTCCTCCCACGGTAGAACTCAAGCCCCTTCTCCCTTCTTTGAAATATGCTTTTCTTGATAAGGAGGGAAAATACCCTATTATTGTCAATGCTATCCTAGATGGTCTTAATTTGGAAAAAATTCTTGATGTTTTAAGAAAATATAGGGATGTGATAAGGTATATCATTGATGATATCAAATTTATTAGCCCTTCTTTATGCATGCATCTTATTCATCTTGAAGATAATCATTCCACCCCCATTGAACCTCAAAGAAGGTTGAACCCCAACCTTCAAGAGGTTGTGAAGAAAGAAATTTTGAAACTACGTAAGGCGGGCATCATCTATGCTATCTTCGATAGCAAATGGGTTAGCCCGGTTCATGTAGTTCCAAAGAAGGGTGGAATGACCATAATCAAGGATGAAAAGGGAGAGGAAATCTCCACCCGGACGGTGACCGGGTGGAGAATGTGCATTTATTTTAGGAGATTGGACAAAAACACCAAGAAAGATCATTTTCCTCTCCCTTTCATGGACCAAATGCTTGAAAGGCTTTTTAACCATGCTTTCTTTTGTTTCTTGGATGGGTATTCCGGATTTTTCCGAATCCCTATTGATAAGTGGCATTTATGCCACTATTTAAATCCTCTAATCGCGGTATTTTTCTACGTTTGTCCCTTGTTTGTACCCCTTTTGCTCCGTTTCTCTCTTTATTATGTTTTTGTGCTTTTCGTCGTGTTTTGTAGGCTTTTGGAGTTGATTTTGAGAGAATGAAGAGCTTGGAGAATTGGAGTTCATTTGAAGAGCTACAAAGGAAGTTAAGGAGCAAGCAAGCAAGGCCATGCGGACAGCGCGGGTCGCGCTTTCAGAATGGCGCGGGCGCGCCAAACCCAGCGCGGGCGTGCCTAACATTGGGGTCGAAAATATTGGAGGCAGAATGTAGGCGCGATTTGGGCGCGGCTTAGGCGCGGGCGCTCCTAAGATAGGCGCGGGCGCTCCTAAGATAGGTGCGGGCGCTCAAGGGCCTGAACTCCAAAACTAACCTTTGTTCACTCTTTTATAACTTTTGATCTACAAATTGGATTGAGGTAATTAAAGTTGCATTAGAAACTAGACTTAAAGAGCTTTTCAACGGTAGGTCGCACGCCCACAGAAGCCACATAGAATAGAAGTTATAGCCCTTTGAAAATGAATGTCGCTGCTAGGCCAATCCTAGTGCGCGGGCGCGCAGGCAAATATCGCGGGCGCGCACTAGCAGCTACGGGTCTTTTAAACGCTTCTTCCTCTCCTCTTTTTGGAAGTTTGGATGGTGGGTTTCTTTGGGGTTTTATCTCTCCACTTTGAGGGGTTAAACCCTAACATCTCTCCATCAATCTTCACATAAATTAGGCTTAGATTTAGTTTTAGTCTTTGTTTTTATACTTTGTAATGTAGATTAAGAGTAATTTAGGGTATTTTAGAGAGAGAAAGTGAAGAGCTTCAATGGTGGATTGAAGAAGATGAAGATGCAAAGTGACATTGTTTTGGATTCCTTTTCAATACTTCAATGAGCATTCTAAACTCTATCTCATTTATAGTTCTTTCTTAATTTCTTTCTTGATTAGAGTAGTTGTTTAGTTTAATTGCTTCTCTTTGTTCTTCTTGTTGGGTTTTGTGTTAGTTGTTCATGATTAGTGAGTAATTCCCTTTACTAAGGGATTGGTGATAGCATGTGGTGAATCTTGAATGTATTAGGCTAGACAAATGTTGGTTATATGTGATTAAATATACCTTGTGACCATGTTTTACTAATTACTCCATGTGAATGGCCAATCATGTGTTGTAATTGGGTGCATTGAACTAAGTTATGACGATAGTGTAACTTAGGGATATCCATTAGGTGATCGATTCTATGCAAAAACCTTAACTTTCACAGCTTATGACGATAGTATGAGCATGTGTTAAGTTGGGAAAGCCTTTGACCCCGATAGGTGGTTAGATGGTATTGTTGGTATTGCCTTATATGAGATATTTGGTTTGCATGTAAACTCATTTCCATTGCCTAACTTTATTGAAGATCATTGTCATGTTTGACCCTCTCCCTTGGTGTTAGTTTAACTTAATATTAATCTCATTTTGTTTATTGTTCTATCCATCCTATCTCTTTGACCTAGCTTAATTGGTGGTGGTGTTGATAGTGTTTATGTCGTCTCCGTGGTTCGACCCTCTACTTTTCACTAAACTTGTTTAGTGTAGGTGTAGGTTTATAAATATTGTTTGGTTGAGGGTAGTTAGTCCAACGACCTAATTATCCTTCACCAAAATGGTGCCGTTGCCGGGGACGGCTTCCATTATTGTTGTATTACCTTATTGAGTCTAGGTCTTTGCGAATATTTTCTTTTATTTTTTTTTATTTTTTGTTTAAAAAAAAAAGAAAAAAAAAGGGGAAATTCCAAAAATATTTGAGCTTTCTTATTTGGTTGCTATTTGTTTTGCCTCATTGAGTCATGGATCAATTTGTCCAAAATGAAATGTCATGTCCTTCTTTGCCTCAATTTGAATATGAGCCCTTTTGGGTATACTTTAATAGGTTTGAAGACTTCTCTAATTACCTTGGTTGTACTTTATGGGAGTCTTGTGAGATAATTTATTGGGGTTTGAATGAGTACACTAGGGGGGTGGTTGAAAACATATTTAATGGTGAATTTCAAGCCACATCTTCGGATGAGGCTTGGGATTTCTATTTGTGGTTTGCTCGGGATAGCAATGAGCAAGATAATTATGATAATTGTCGTGATTTTTCTAACTCTTGCATAAACTCTAATGATGATTCTTATGTTCCCCATGATGATCCCTTGATGCATGATGGCAACCCTTCCCTTTTGTATGCTAATTGTAATGAGATGCATCCCAATGTTGATAATGTTCATGATATTTTTCAATGTTCATCAATTATGTGCATGAATTCCAATGATGCTTCACACACCCCAAATTCTCCAATGCATACTTCTTCATCTTCCTTTCCTTTTTCATACACGATTCCTAATGAGTTCCCCTATGTTTCTAATGAGCCTTTTTGTGAGGGTAATTCAGTGGGGAGATCGAAGGAAGAAGAGTGTATGGAGATGCTTAAGGAGTTTATGAGAAAACAAGATGAAGAGAGGAATGAAAGGGAAGCTTGGATTAAAATGATGGAAAGTAAAATTTCCCAACTAGCCTCATCCCAAGAGGATGCCTTTCCTTCTTCTCCCTCCTCCCATTTGAGTGAGCCTAAGGGTAATCAAGAGAGTGAGACAACTCATTTGGAATTTGAGAATGTGATTGAGGATGATGATTTTGAAAGTGATGGAGGGAGTATGGATGGTGAGATTTTTCATGACTTCGTGAATACCAACCCCTCCACCCAATTTGAGCCTCAAAACTCTTCGCAACCCATTAACGATACAAAATTGATGCAATTAAACATTGATTTGAGGTTGCTTAGAGAAAAGTTTGGTTTAGGTGATGATGAGATACCGATGTTCATTCATGGTGACTTGGGGAATGTTAACAATGATGATAATGCTCTTGTTGAGAGTGAAATATCCCAATTGGTGATTGAGAATACATCGAAAATCTTTGAGGGTATTGAAGATGAGTTGGAAGAGAAAGCTTGTGATTCAATGCTAGGTGGTGTAATTGAGGTGGTGAGTGCGATCCCAATTCAAACCCCTTCAACTTACATCCCTTTTTCAAGGAAGTTTAGCAATATTCCTTCTTTTCCCATCTCACTACCATATTTTCTCAAAAATAAACCAATTGAGGATCCCCTTGCCTCTCTATACCACCATGGCCTTACTTTTGATTTCAATGATGAGCTTTCACCTTCCAAAATGCAACTAAATGAGTTTGTTCCCTCTTTTTCTTTTTCTTATTTTAATTTTTCTTTTGATTTTTCTTTTGATTCTTTTTATTTTTCTTTTCCCCCTCCCCTCAAGCATAGAGTTTCTTTCAACTTTGTGCTTGCTTGTCATATGAGCATCACTTATGCTCTTTTTCATGAAATATTTTCCGATGCATATGACAAGCTTTTGCGTTCTTTGTCCGGTTATTTACTAATAAGGTCAATCTTGGACCTTAAACAAGACTTTCTCGGGAAGTAACCCGTGTTTTTATTGCTTTTACTTTTCCTTATTTCTTTTAATTTTGTTTTCCTCTTGTTTATCTTTGTATATAGGTACTTGATGTCTATACTTTTGCGCATGACCTTTGACCGAGAACCATAAGAAGTAGAAAACCAAGGAATATTTGTAAATGGAAGTTGAAGCATCAAAGAAGAGCAATTTAATGGAAATGAGGAAAATGAGTTCATTTGCGGGTTTCACACCCACCTATCATTTGGTTCACTCTTTCCATTTTCTTTTTTTTTTTATTGCTTTACCTTCTTATTTGCATGTGGTTTGAAAGATACATGTTTGTGGTTTTGTT